AAAATATATATATATATATATATATATATATATATATATATACACACACACACATATATTTAATTATTTATGTAGATGATTAATTCAGATATACTTAAATATCGAATTTAAATGTTGCTTACTTAAATAGAGAATTAAGTTTTATTTATTCTTTTACGAGATATTACTAGAAAAATTCTATATTATGAAGAATAAATGTTTGTTAGTGCGTGACACATATTGCTTCGTTTAATCTTTACAACTCTGCTCACTTTGTGGAATTTATATAAAATTATGTCTTGAATTTAGGGGCCCGGTAAAGCAACGCGGACGAGAAAAGAAACTGTATGCAAATTTATGTAAATAGCATTGTGGTATGGCGCACAGCATGTTTGTTATATGTAACACACGCACCTGTACATAAATTATGAGAACGGGTGTCGTATGCGTCACGAATACTTAACATTCGTTACTTTGTTAGATCAAAACTGGAGACCTGGAGAGAAAATAAATTGAAATGTTGGCATGCTACAAATATTAATCAGATCTGAAGCGAAAGCTGAAGATTGGAAAAATTTTGGCTAATATAAAAAAGATATTAGAAATATTACAAGAATTGTGAAAACATTCTTTGCACATATCTCTTTTTTACATGATACTTGTCATTTTTATATTTTGATATTAGATATTGATATTAGTAAAGAGAATTATTTGTAGGTAATATTTACAGATGTGTTTTAATAGCAAATTAAATGTCTATAAAAATAATAATAAAGATTATATGATTTTTTTTCCTACATCGATCTCGTTTTATTTCTCTTTTGTTCGCTTAGTTTTCTTAGGGAAGGCGTTTATCCATTTGGAGTAATAGTCGAGGAAATTGAGAAGAGTCATGGTATTTTCAAATTTTCTCTGCACGGCATCTCGGTTATTGCTTTCGTGTGTATTCGTACTGTACAAGCGTTAACGGTGCATTGATTATATAAGAGACATTAAGTACTGGGAACTAGGTCGAAAACAAATGTACCAAGCCGACCTGGCAATGAGCTCGTATAACGCTGTTACGAACGTTAATGGGCTCTAACACTATAGTTAGATTCAACGGCACCCTGCCTTCTCGTAGCCGTCTCAACGGCGTCTCTCGGCAAATTGAATGAAATTGCAATTTGGAAATTAATCGTCAGATGTCCAAGCGACATCGCATCATCCTCGTGCGGCTGTGTGCAAGCGCGATTGCACATATGGTTCCCTCCTCAATCTCAAATTATTTCGCGACTTTGTATGTTCTTGATAAAATTAAAGCGTCATAAGCTCTGCGAAATGAGAAACATTCGCCAAGTATTTAACATTGCAGTTAATTGTTTTTGTTGTGCCTATTGATTGGTTAGCAACACACGCAATTTTAACACTCACGAATTAGTAATAATATTCGATGCGTATTACGTCAGTTATGTCATTTTCAATGATAATTTGGTTACATAATATCCAAATGAGTTCGCTATGAATAGCAATCGGTTTGCACGCAAAAATTCATATGACGGGAGATGATGGCTAATGAAAACATTTGCTTATCCGCGTAAGAGAATTTTCGATGAACATATTATCGACAACTGTCATCATCGCGCCAGTTGTCGCTAAAATTACTCAATTTACTTTATGAAGGGCATATCATAAAATACGTTTATTTAAATGATGTTGGTAAAATAGTAGATGTATTTAATTTTATTCTATTTATTCTAATAATATATTAAGTAAAAATCAAATGATGATACAGTAAAAAAAACTGAATACTTTACTATGCGTCGATAAATTATGAGAAAATAAATTAAATTGATCTTGTATAAGATTTTAGTGCTAAGAAAATTGATTTTAAAAATTGGAAAATTAATAATAAATTGTCGATTTAAAAAACGAAACAACATATTTAGAATACGACGTTTTCTCTATAAATAAACTACTTACTTGTGTCTCGACATCCTTTCAGCTCGATACGAAGGCAAACCGTACGCCTGTGCTCCGAGTGCGGTAAGATCCGGATTTGACTGGCGAAGATAGGCGGAATCAAATTATGCGATACAATGGTGGAGGTGTCGCTGTTTCCGGCTAAAACCTGTGGATCAATGTCATGTACATTATTAAAATGGCAACTGTGAGGAAACAAAATTAGACAACTTTTTACGCGTCAATTAATGTGAAATTCGATATTTGATTAATAACACCGTCAATCATTTAAATAATAATGAAGCTTTTTTTATTCAGTTTTGACGAGAAAAATGAAATCTTTTTTTTCAGGCGACTGTGAATTCTTTATGGTATGACTCTTACTGTGAGAACCATATGGCATTAATGCGATTACATGAAATGGACATTCCGTCCAGAAATTTCCGGGTACTTATAGACATCTCGATTTTGGGATCGAGTTAATGTAATATTGGTGAATGTATGCGCGCTTAAATGTGCAGCACCATTAATTTTCCCGGCTGGAAATATCTGAATATCCATCTGGTATCGATGGCAGTCCGCGTTATCTCGACGATAATGCATTACATTAAATACGAACTTTTCGACAGAATCCCGTTTCGGTAAACTTCCGTTGTATTGACATTAATGTAGCGAGGCATTATGATTTCCGGCATTCAATTATCTATCTGAAACTTACTCGTGGTACCACCACTTCAGCTCAATTCATCTCAGCTTAGTTTCATTATTTATCGTGCCACATGGGCACGTGGTTAAGCGATAAGAGATTATTCAGCGTAAATATAATACAACAACTATGTCATTAAATTAGCCATCGCTTCATTTTACATTTTACGATCAGCCGCATTGATACCGCGATGAATAATTAATAAGAGAGGATTTAATGTTTTATATAATGAGGTAAATGT